AAGACGGCACGGGGACCCCGCGGTGCTCGGCCCGGGTTGTGCGCTTGGGGAGCTAGCTCTAGCCTATTAGCTTATACCTAATCCTGCAGTCTATTAGCTATAACTAATGCTGCAGTCAGTAATATCTGTAAGGAGCGGGGTGGATTGTACTTTAAGTGGCACATTTAAATCACTCCCTGTTAAACTTCGTTTGAATTATGAGAAAATAGTTGACTGTGCAATCTTCCATGCATTCTGAATAACAGAAGTGTTTTTTGTTTGTTTGTTTGTTATGCACTGCAAAAACAAAAAAGCAAAATACAAATACAGTAGAAGCAAAAAAGTAACCTGTCTTTGCCCCTCCAGGCTGTGCAATACATGCAGCAGTGGTAAGGGCAGACTAACCAAGCAAGTCAGGAGCAGCCGCCAGGAGCTCCCTTCTGAACACCAGGCAAGCGCTGTGAATCCAGCACCATCTGTACCCAAAATCAGTGGATGACTTCACCAACTAGGGTGGTAACAGCTAGCGATAAATAAACACCGCAGTGTCACAGGGGAAGTCTCTCTTAAGCAGCAAGTATTTTCCCCAAGTCTTGCTTGCTCTGGTTCTATTATGTCTTGTCCTTCATCAAGCATGTCCCAAGAAATGCCATCCTGCTGCACCATTCTTAAAGCCTTCCATTTCCTTTCCTGCCCAGGTAAAGCAATTTATTAGTCAACTTATATCACTGGAGCTGTACAGCAGCCGTGCAAAGACAGACACCCCTTTCTGGTTGCAAAATGTGTTTTATTTGTGAATAGAAGGAGACGGTGCCAGTGCATAACAACAGTGCTGCAGCGGCACAGCTGGAAACTCAACAGGAGTTTGGTTGGGAGCATGTGATAGAACCAACAATATGGCAAATACAAAACCTACTGAATACACCTGACAACTCCAGAATGGCACATGGAGCTTCCTCATCCCTGTTGGAGGGCGTTGCTTGACTAGTTACCATTTCAGTACAATCACAACAGCGATACAGTGATAAGAAACACCCTGCTACAGCTCTGTAAGAAGTGCTGGGTTGGGAAGTACATTTTGGAGTGAGGGCCAGAGGTTTCCTTTCAACTGTTCTAACATATGGTTTCCCCCAAAGGAGAAAATGAGTACAGGAAAATGCTAAACTGCTTTTGAATATGAAATTTTAGCCCAGTTACTCCCAGGCTCACCAGCTAGAAGACATCAGGCACTAGCTAAACCCCAGGCATGGGCCATCCATCCATCATGTGAGGGATACAACTGCCACATGGCCAGCACTGGGAGGAGAGAAGGCTGTCAAGGCTATTCCTCCCATGAAGTTAATTGGGTTATGGGGTTGCTTTACAGCTTTAGACCAAAAAAAACACACACACAAAAATAAATACCCAAAAAAGACACAACCCCAAAAAAAAAATAAATCTCAGAGCATGCACGGAAGCAGCATAGCAAACAGCATGTGGTGTACACCAGCCACCAACAGCCCTCCTCTCATGATCAGCTGGAGAGCAGCAATCTTTCTGCTCCATGCTACAAAACGGATTTTCACCTGGCTGAAAAGGATTTTCTCAGAAAACAGCCAGTAGATGAGCTGCTCTTAAAAACACATATTAAAATCAAGACAGTGCATTCCTCCACCGGCCTGCTCAATGAAACAGCTCCCCAGAGTCACACTCAGAGGTGATTCAGCATGACATGCAGTTGATTTAAGAGCCAGAGAGTCACCAGTGCTGTTTCATGGTCTCACAGAGCAGGCTGTGCAAGTAGCACTGGACACTGGTGATGGAGATGCAACCCAGCCAGGAAGGCTCACCACAGTCCTGTTGTGAGCTGTGAGATACATTCAGAACAGAAGTACAAAGTTATTCAAGGAGGAAACAACTGGAGCTGGTTTGATTAATAGGGCACTGGCTCCCGTTCTGACGAGCCAGCACGGACATCCCGTGCACTGGTCACTGCTGCGGGGTCACTCGTGATAAGGCACTGAAGAAGGGAAGCTGCAGCCCTGAGGGCAGTCTCTACTCCACATCCACACAGCCGAGCATCTTTGTGCTCATGCGGCTGAGCATCTCTGCACAGGAGATGCAGTCTCACCCCAGGAGAGCACAGAGTCTCCTGTGTACATCATGAATCGAAAAGAAGCCCAGAGTTTTGTCTGCCTGGGCCCTGCCTTTGTGGTGGAGCATGAAGCACTGAAGAGCCGTGCCAGGCCGGCTGGTCACAGCGGGCGCTGCAGCAGGGGCGGTAGCGTGGCATTGCCACGGCAGTCCACGTACTGGTAGTTTTCAAAGGCCAGCTGCTCCGAGTGGCACAGGTACGTGCAGGTCAGAGTGCCCCTGCAAGGCAAAAACACACAGAGGCTGCAGCGACGACTGTGCCGGTCACAAAGATTATATACAGCTCCCACCATCCTGCTTCGCTGCCACGTGTCCTCAGCGCCCTGGAGAGCGTCAGCTAGGAGGTACACGGTCAGCACGGGCAGGGAGGTCCCCGCAGCGGACACAGGCTGCTGCACGAGACTATTTTCACCCACAGCTTTCCAAAGCAGCGGGACTTAGCTAATGAAGACCAGCACTCTTCTTCCAGGGCTTCCCTGCCTCCTGCGCCATTGAGCTCTAACACAGGCCAGGACAGTGGCAGCTGGTCCCAGGAGGAGCTCCTCTGGGCAACAGGATCCACAGAAAAACTGTCCCTGCTCCCTGCAGGTGCTGGCAGCCCCACGAGGAGGGCAGGATGAACCTGGCACTGCTGCCAGCTCCAGCCCAAACTGCTCCTTCCAACAGCAACAAGTCTTAGGGGAAGGAGCTTTGTCAGGCCAACATGCTGCATAACACAAGCAACAGCTTGTGCTGCAAGGAAGCCTAAATCTAGGGGACTTCTCACAGCACCGGTGGCTTTGGAGACTTCAGCAAACTATCTAGGTAAGACCACTGACACTGCAGCCAGCTCTGACCCCAAGCACAGCGACTGGACTGGCCTCCCACGGAGTTCAGAAAGGGCACGGGCTGTGTTTAGTGCCGAACCAGGCACCACTTACTGTATGTGCAGCAGGACATTGTGCACTTTGATTTTTGTCCAGGTGCAGATGTTACTAGAAGAGAAAAGAGAGAGCTAATTTCACAGGAGTGGTCTGTATCATGAGTCTCCTGGTCCTCAATTATTCCATTGTCTCTCTGCTTCTCTGAAAAGGCCTGTCCTTGGAAGATTCTGGCAACAGCCATGCAGGCCAAGTTCTTGAAGCACAGCTCTGCCTACCATGGTAAATCACTTTTTTTGCTGGTGTAACTCAGTCACTTCGGATCCAGTAATCGTGGGGCTCCGAAGTAGGCAATGCAAACGACCTACCTGCGCTGAAGCTGTGACTGCCGTGAACTTCGCAGAGCTTCTGCAGAGAACTGCGTGGCACAAGATGCATTTAGCTGCTCACAAACGGAGCACCAGAAGTTTGCAACACAGACATCAAACTGATACCACCACTTGTCAGAATACAGGAAAATGACACTGTTGGGTCAACAGCAGGCAGTGAACACCAGCAGATAAGAAATGAAATTAAAGTGGATGTACCAGATTTGTGCCTGGGTCAGCTGCACACATATTCAAAAAGTCACAGTGAGTTTCACTGAAGAGATAGGAACAGCACAACAAGCCTAGTTTTAAAGAACCTTTAAGCGTTAATATCACTTATTTACCAAAGAAATAAAACTTCAAGAATTACTCACTAGGTATTGCTGTCCAATAGTCTACTGGCCACCATATAATACACCTGCAATGTGAACAGAAGGAAAAGAAGAAAACACATAAGAATTAGTTATGTTTGGATACAGCCCAGAGAATTAAAGTAGGGAGAGCTGGACGCTGATTAGTTGCCTGAAGTTCAGAACCTGAATTTCAAGTTTTAGCCCAGCAATTGTTCTTAGCAGTGGGAAGCTCACCTGGCTACTCTGCAAAGGACTGATATTCAGCAAGGTTTTCATGGTGGTCTTCCCTATTACCAGGGACTGGTGTAAAACTTCTATGTCCAGCTGCACAACAGTGACTGGGTAGAAGTTGTTATTAGTTATGTTCAGCACATTCTAAGGAGAGAAACGAGAAACCAAACCACCTTGCAGCACAGCCGTATGTTGCTGTAGCAAAACTACTTTAAATATATCCTTGCTATAACCTTACAACAGCCCTAGACCACGTGACCCCTTCCAGTCCGGACCATAATATCCAGCCAGGTTCCCAGAATGAATCACCACGCTGCTCCTGCACAGCCCCTTTGGCCCTCTGTGAGGCTCTTGCTCACAGAGCAGCTGCCCTCGCTGCCACTGCAGCTCCTGACGTGGCTCCTGAGCCTGCCTGGAGGGGACTGCACTGCTGGGGACAACCAGATTCTAGCTAGAGGCAGCGATCAGGTCCTCGCAGCAGCGAGAGGCCTTTGCGCACTGCTCCACCCTGAGAACTCACTGTCATGTTGAGGGAAATACTGGTGGTGGTGGCATTGAAGCCAATGGAGGAGGCATTCAGCCCTGCCGGCAGCACGGTGATGGAGCGAGGAAAGAGGAAGAAGACGCCGAGAGACGTCATCAGCAGGCAGGTGGTCACAGCAAGACACACATAGAGCTTCCTGCAAAACAGCGGCACGGCCACGTCGTCCTCTCGGCTCATCAGCTGCAGGCGCCTGCAACCCAGCTCGGCGGAGGAGGCAACGGGACCTTGAGGGCCGAACGCTGGGGTGAGTTTGTGCAGAAGGCCCCAACGATGGGAGAAGCAGGAGGGTGCTCCCCTCCCGGGACACACTGCCTCTTACTGTGGAAGCAGGCAGGAATTTGGAGACCTCCCCTAGCTCCACATTTCCTCCTGCATAGAGGGTTGTCCAGGTATCTGCTCTTGCGGAACGGACACCGTGCACTCTGACTTGCAGTAAGGCTGGTGTTCAAAGAGAAAACGCCCTCCAAGGAACAGCTGCAGGTGGATTTATTCCCATGGGACCAAGCCCTCCCTTCACACACAGGAAAGGGGCAGAATTGGATAGGACTCACGTTCGTCGAGGCTTCAGCCTCTGGTCACCGTACGGAATCAGAGCTACCAGCTGCTTCTCTTGCTCTGAAAGAGGTAGCAGCAGATAAGAGACTGCACCGAGTGTCCAAACAAGTAAAAACACATTGCATTGCAGAGAACTGCACAGCCGCTTAGTGTCAATCTGCAGTCACATTTCTGGTGACACTGTTCAATTCAGAAGGTGAGCGTGCTGCAATATTCCCAGCTCTGTGCAGAAAGAGCAATTCCCCAGGTACCCCATGGAGCCTTTGATTAATTATCCCAGCCTCTCAGCACCCACCCTGTCCTTTCCCAACAAGGGCTGTCCAGAGAACACTGGAGGGCCTGAGCTGCTAAAACAGGACACCCCTTACTCGGGATGCAGTAAAGATCAGCTGATGGAACCGAGGTCAGCCTCAGGAGGCTCAGAAAGCACCAACACGGCACACAGGAAAAGCACCTACCCCTGGGGATCCTCCCAGTTCCCTGACACGTCGGGCAGTTGACGCAGCTTCGACTTCCCGCACAGGACACAGCAGGGTCTTCCCCGTTGATACTAGCATAGCCGGCGATCTCGTCCTCGGCACCCTTTGGTCTGGGTAAGATCAGCTTGCCCTCATTCTCCTTTTGGTCAGATGCTTTCCAGAACTGTGAAAGTTTTTCACCCATAGTTGAAGGAAGATTTCTCACTAAGTATCCAACACAAAAATGTTTTAGGAAAATTGTCTTTATTAACCTCCACCGCTGTTTAGTGTGTATAATAGATCACAAGCGTCTAACTTGGCAAATTTCTTGCAGCACAGCTCTGAAATTGCTTTTAAAGATCCACCTCATAGCTCGTACTTCTAAACATAGAAATCTCTGGCCACTCTAGTTGCAAGAAAAAGTCCAGCGCCACCACCCTATAACACACCAGATTCTTCATCTCATGGAGCTTTGTAAAAGCACAAATGCTGACCCAAAGCACTTGAACATCTTGAGATGACGACACAGCCCAGAAGTAGAACTTTAGAGTTCTTGTATAGTCATTATTCATCTGCATCCAATAGGCAACTCACCTGAACACCAAAGGCTTGGTATTTCCTATCAAACAGTGTCAATAACACTAGCCTCATTTATAAATACATAAAATCACACATTGCCCCATTTGCTATTTTTAAACACCAAAGTATCAGTTTAACTACTGTTCCCAGGCTCCTGGCAATCAGAAACTTCTACACCAGCTCCTGCCCGTCCTCCCCAAAGCATCAGCAACACCAAGCAGAGAAAAATAAGCTGTGTTTTGCTCACAAAGATAGCTCAGCACAGCTTCCTATCTTTGCCAGTCTGGTCTTGTTTTAATGACTCCAAGGTAGCATATTTAGCCTAGATAAACAACAGTTGTACATTTGCCCAGATGATCCAGAGGCTGAAAGTAAATAACCTGCGGGGCTCTTTTTTTCCCTCTCTCTGTAAAACACTGGCGAGGAGAAAGCACCATCAGACAGTGCGGAACATGCAGTGCTCACCCTCAGTCCACAAACCCGGGTGCATCTGGGAACGCGAGCAGAAGATGAGCTGGCTCCAACAGCAAAGGACGAGCGAGGAAGGAAGGAAGCGGCGGCAAAGCGGCCTATTTAGCCATGAAGGGTTACAGAGAAACCTCTTGGCTGCCCGGTAACCTTCGTTTCATTAGATTCTGCAAGACACTGCTTGGAGCCTTGAGGCAAGGCAAAGTGTTCTCCTTTATACGCTGCAAAAGAAAAATACCTGAAGGGTTTTAACCATTCAACTAACAAGGGAAGGACCCTGCTACCATTGCGCTACATTTCCGCAGCGTCAGAGCTCCCAAGCACGGAAGCGTTCCCCATGCCCTCCGTTAATCTTTAGCAGCTTTCCAACACGCAGCAGTGAGGAGGAGGTGCCGGTGCCCTCACAGCGCGAGGTGACCGTGGAGG